CGTGGGTCGTCGAACGAGTGGCAAAGAGGAGCACCGATCTAGAGGGATCCGCTGAAGGGCGCCGTAGCCGTGTCGTGTCGAAATGCTAGGCCGTGCGCGACTTGTCAGACTCGGCTGCTGTGGATCACAAGCTCACGCCTACGCGTCGCTCTTCCGTCTCTATCCACGCACCTTTCTGTAGGGAAACAGCGCTGACCAGAGCGAGGGTGAAAGAGGCGCATAGGCGAATGATGATCGCAAACCATCCAGATCGTGGAGGAAGTCCTTTTATCGCGAGCAAAGTAAACGAGGCAAAGGTGCGCATTCTCCAACACAAAGAATTGTCAAGTCATATTGCCTTGCGCGAGTAGGTTTGAGCTGATGTCTGGCTCCCCCACGCACTCTCTCTGGTGATGTGTGGCTCTTGCGCACAGGACTTGCTGGATAAGACCGTATCGAGGTAGTGCGGCTGCCTCTCGTCACTCCACCGCCGCACGGTGTCGCGCCATCTGCATCTCCCCGTCAAGCTTCACCTTCACCCCTCTTGGCTTCTCATCCCAAACATGATGGCACATTTGCAATCCGCACCTGCACCGAATGACAAGACGCGCTGCAGTTGCCCCATGCTCTTCACTTGGCCGTGGCGATCACAAGGAGCAGTGCTTGATCTGGTGTTCCCGCGGCCGCGAGGAATATGATATTGACGCTGCAGAAAGCGAGCAGTGCTACGATCTGTGGCATACACGATGGCAGGACAGTGGGAGCAGCATCACAGGAAAGCGCAACGCGATCAAACCATTTCCCGAGAAGCGGCTTGGCGTAGATGGCGGACCAGGGATGGCCCTGGCCCCGGCCCCGGCCCCGTCCGATTCCTCGCGCTATCTACCAAAGCAATGCCTATCCACCAATCTGATGGGCGGATAAAGCACAATCGAGAGAGCAAAGCCGACCTCGAAAGCCAAATCTCCAGATCGTCGTGCTAATGGTCCAGCAAACCAGACCTGGTCCATGCAGGGAACCATGATCGCCACGCTCAGTACGGAAGTGGCTAGCGCAGCGAGTCCGGTCGGCAGTTTGTTGGGATTTGCATAGATGCTTTGAGGGTAGGCCAGTGCTAATGGTGCATCCAGACTATCCGCTTCCACCTCCGCCTCCCGCATCTGCGCATCGTGATTGTGATTCGCGCTCCCAGACTCGTTCTGATCCGCTGCGGCGCTCTCACTCTGGTCTTGTCCTGCTGGCACCTGCCACGACGGCTTGCTCTCTTGCCCCAGCGCGCGCTCCCCCACGTGCTCCACAAGCCTGCCTCTCGCTCGTCGCCTAGCATCGGGCATCTTGAATATCCAATGTTCCATAAGTAGGGTCGCGCAAAAAGGAGCAGCCCAATAGCCAATGATGCTCAAAAAGTTGGTCAATGTCTGACTGAACTGATTAGCTCCCACGATGGAGAGGGGCAGAACGATAGCAGTGGCGAGGACGGGATAGATGAAACGAGGAAGCTGATGCTGCAGGCGCTTCATCAGCCTTGTCGCTCTTTTTGCCAGTGACGCGTCCGCTTCGGAAGTTGACGAGGCCTGATGGCTTTGATCTTTGCCAGCATGGTCTCTTGCTTCCTCCCTCTCCATCCGCTCGTCGCGCTTCGACTCGACCTTGCTCCCCATCGTTCTGCCCAGCGACACTCGGGGCAAGCTCATAAAGCTCAATCCAAACGAATAAAAAGTGAGCGCCACATTGCCCACCGTGCTGAGCGCTAGGATGACATTGGCGAACCTAGCCCCCGCTCCGTCCTTGAGCGCAACGCGCACGAGTTGTCCTGAAGAGATGGATAGAGCTTCGGACCAGATTGGAATGTCTTGAGAAGCGTGCGCAAATGAGGCCCCTAGCACCATCGTCAGAGCGGTGGAGAGGAGAAAACCGAGGTAGACGGAGAGAAAGAGGAGGCGACGCGGGGTGCTTGGACGCAAGTGTCGCGTGACGTCTGCAGAAAGATGCATCAGCCGACCATCGTCATGGAGTAAGCGTTTGGGGCTCGTGCTCGTGCGGCTCCTTGGTCAGAACGACACTCACCACAAGACATTGTCTTTTTCAACCATGGAGCCCGATGCGAAATGCGCCGTCCCAGAGTCAGATTGGCATCCACTCAGCGCTCTTCGCGGACACGCTTGGCCTGTTGCATTAGGTGACACTCACGGACCAAGTGATGACGTAGCCAGCAAGCACAGCTCCCATAGCCAAGACCGCTCTGGCTCTCTCCTGCGTGGTGAGCGGCACTTCTACCGGCAAGTGCAGGCCCGCAGCTCCAGTTCCGGCCACAGCAGGCAAAGCGATGAGGACGGGCAAGACAACGATCCAGGCGTAAAGCTCGAATAGGGTGAGGATGTGTAGGCCTGAAAAGGAGATGAGGAGGGAGAGCAGGACGGAGAGGATGATGCCGGCGTTGAGGGAGAGGGAGAGGGAGGAAGAGGCGGCGCGTAGAGTCTGACCTCCAAGGATGGTGTTGAGAATGCTGTAGCCCAGCTGCGTGGCTGATTATGAGCGGTGCAAAAGGCGCATGCGCTATCAGCATGTCAGCAAGCATGGCGCTGGGAATGCGTTGCACTTGAGAGATCACACCCTCGTAGTGCATCACAATTGACCACCCACTTCGACTCACCGCAGCTGAGCACGATGATGACGCCCGTGGCGTAGTAGCCCCAAGAGTATCTACAGAACACAATCTGTCTCAGACCGGTAGCCGGTCCAAACGTGGCCACATAAGCGGGCACCAAGCTGAAGAGGGCTACCCAAAGCGGAATGCAGATCAGACTGGATCGCATATCCAAGCCCAGAGTTGGCGCCAGTGCGCCGGTGGAGAAGGAGAGAATGTTGAGATTTGCGCTGGACCAGAGGTAGAAGAGTTGGAGAATGTCGCTGCTGTTCTGAGGTGGACGTGGTAGCGTTAGCGATAGCGGCTCTATGCCTTGCTTTTCCGGTTTCAGATGTTGCAGCAAGCGGACGAGTCCAGCGCGAGTGCGAGTGCGAGTGCGAGTGCGCAGATGAGCGCGCTGCCTCTTATCACTGCCGACGCTACCATCGTCGTGCCTTTGCTCCTCCTGTCGGCTCCTGTCCTGCCGCTCAAGCTGCTCTGATCCCGGTGCATTGTTCATCTGCCAGAATGCTTCCCCTTCACAAGGCACATGGTCAACAGCACCATCCCGGACCATCATCCAAACACGCCGACCGTTGTTCCTGCTTTGCCCTGAGTGCTATTTGTGGCCTGCCTGTCGATTGTCCACAGATCAGGATGGGCTTGGCACGGCAGGTAGAGAGCTTGGCTGCGACATGAGTGAGAGGGTGTGGACGACTGCGATGATGGGTGAAGGATGCTTATGAAAGTCAAGAGTCATGTGATCTCTGATGTGACTGCTCACTCGCGCTGCGAGCCATTCACATTCCTTATCCATATCGGGCGTCGGGCGCGTGTTAACACAAGAATAAAAGTTCTTATCGCACGAGAAAGCAGAGGCGAGGCTAAGATTTCAACGCGTGATCACAGAAAGTCAAAAGTCTGACCGACGCGGCGCTTACAATGTGAATCGTGTCAATTCGAAACCACGTCAAGTAATATGGAGTCGATGTATTCAAGATCCGAAAAGTGGAGGCGGGGTTGAAGTGAAAAGAGCTTAGCCTTGCCCGGTAGCCCTATTCAAGATTTTGTATGTATACAGCTGCGTCAGTCGATTCTGGGTGCATCCTTGTGATTTTACCGCAAAATTATCAGCTTGACTCTGCAAGCCTCATCACCTGAATGCCCCTACTCAGTGTGATCGCACAAGTGCATCGCTGGTAAACAGCAAGTCGAACCCTCTCCGTCTCGCGCTCGCGAGGATGGGCAAGAAAGGCGGTGGTGGAGCGGCTCAGGCTGCTGAAAAGGCCGCTTCCAAAGCGGCCAAGCGGGCCAAGCAAGAGTCCAAAGCCGCACGAAGCGCCGCCAAGCAATCTGTCAAAAAGGGTGGCGCAGGGGGTGGCAGCGGTGGTGGTGGCAAGTCATCGAGCACAGGCACTGCTACAGGTAAAGGAGGAAAGAAGTCCAAAGGCGCAACAGCTGCGGCAGCAGCAGCGTCGAAAGCGGAGGAAGAGGATTTGGATGCTTTGTTGGCCAATTTCAAAAAGGAGTGGGAAGAGGAACACAAGGTTTTGGAAGAGAGGGTGGGCATGGCTCCTACCAGAAGAGCTAATGCTACGCTCACTGCTTGTCCTCTGGGTGACGATCTTTGGTTCTTTGGTGGGGAATACTTTGATGGAGATAGGTCAGTCTGCTAGCTGGTGCTTCGTAGGAGTGCGGGGTGCGCTGTTCTGTGTCTTGCGGAAAGGATGGGCAGATGTGCGAGGCTAATGATGAGACGGGGGGCTGGAGGTGGGAAGGCAGTGCGTGTGCGCTGTCTGGAACAGGCAGAGGTAGATGGATGTCCACCATGTACGCGTCGTATTTGCAAGACTGCGGGCAATCGGGCGGCGCTCAACCTTCTCAGCGTCAATACAAGCATCTCGCCAAGAGGCTGGCTGTGATCTCAAAGGTTCCGTCAATACCTGCGAGGAGATCTCGCTGACTCTCTCGGCCCACACGCCGCACCTCGTTCCCTCAGAGCGACATTCTACGCCAATCTATTCCGCTATACACCCTCCAGCAATCCTGCCGCTACTGCCAATCAAGCCGACTCCACCACTTCCTCCTCGCAAGATAGGGGCACATGGAGGCAGTACAGTTCGGCAAACCAACCAGGTCCCAGATCTGCTCATGCTGTCGCTGCCAGTCCAGCCGCTGGGGGTATGCTCTTCGTGTTCGGTGGAGAATTCGCAGGGCCCAAGCTCAATAAATTCTTTCATTACCGAGATGTGAGTGCTGATAGTGCACGCTCGCAGCACCGCTGCTTAGGTAGTCTATGCCGAGGCATTTTGTGCAGAAAAGCAGCGAGGCCAACTTCCATCCTGCTTATTTTCCACTTTGATCTTTAGCTTTGGATCTTCAGCATAGCCAACAAATCGTGGGATCGCATCGATACAAAAGTCAGACCATCAGCTCGATCAGGTCATCGAATGGTGTGCTGGAAACAATATGTGAGTGTAGTGCCCCGGCACGCAGGCGAAGCTCCACCCCCCTCACATTCGAGACTGACTCACAGATGATCATGCTCTTTCACTCGAAACTTCATCGCTGCCCTGGGCTCTTTTTAGATTGTACTCTTTGGCGGATTTCAGGATACTGGGGTGAGGACCACATACCTCGGCGACTTGTGGATCTTTGATACTGCGGAGTACAAATGGCACGAGATCAAACAGAATGAGCTCAGAAAGGTGAGATGATCTTCATTGGCGCGTGTCGGAGTTGCCAGTCCCGAACCTCTTCAAAGTGCTCGCTCCTCATCAACGCTTTTTCGCCACTCTTCGCAGCCACCTGCACGATCTGGCTTTTCACTCTTGTCGACTCCTGAAGGGTGAGTGTACTACTCTGGAGTGCGGCAATCATCTGGCAACATCCTGACACCAGCGACGCTCTGTGCACGCAGTGTCGTGCTCTACGGAGGGTATTGCAAGCGCTATATCAAAGGGGAGAGGACTCAAGGGATAGCACTGGAAGATGCGTGGCTCTTGACCATCGCACCCGATGCCGAAACTGGCGATCTATTCGCGCGTGGAAAGATCGAATGGACGCGCAAACGCAAGATAGGCTATGCGCCAGGTCAACGCAGCGGCTGCACCATGACATTATGGCCTCAGCGCAACACGGGCGTCCTCTTTGGCGGCGTGACGGATAACGAAAATGATGAAGAAAGTTTGGAAAGTTTCTGTCACAACGATCTGTTCGCGTATGCTCTGAGCGGCAATGGAAGATGGACCAGTCTGAACTTGAGAAGGAAGAAAACGCAGGGAGGCAAGAGGAGACGTAAAGCGGCGGTGCAGCCTGAACAGAGGAGGGCAGCTCAAAGTGATGGAGAAGAGGACGAAGATGAGGAGGGCGACGAGACAAAAGACGGCCAAGATAAGCAGGGGCAAGAGGCACTCTCAAACGTGAGCTAGCGCGTGAATTGGCGTTGTCCGTAGAACGTCGTTGAACGTGATACTGCCATCTTCCACAACAGAACATCGTTCCCACGAAAGCAGCTCCAGAAGAAGACGACGATCCAGACGATCCGCAAAAGTCGGTGCCGATCGGCCGATATAATGCGATGCTCGCCGTTCAACGCAATGTGGTAAGCCTGGCGGTCCGATCCGATGAAGACCCCTGGCAAACCCTGCGCTGATCATCTGGTGCTCTCACTGCTTCAATTTAAGCTGTACTGCTATGGCGGCATCCATGAGACTGCCGATCGAGAATATGTAGGTTTGGCCTTCTTTCACTCGCAAAAGTTATCGAGCTGCCAACCTGACATTGAGACCCGATACTCTCCTTCATCAGACGCTGGACGACTTTTACACTCTTGATCTGGTCAAGATGGAGCGCTTCAACTGTCTCAAATCCTGTCCAATCGACGCTCTGGAATGGTATGAATCGTCCTCATCCGCATCTGGCTCTTCCGACTCTTCCTCCGACAGCAATCCAGGAGAGGTGGAGGAGAGGGAACAGCCGGAAGGAGAAGAGATGGCAGAAAACGAAATGGACGACGATGAGCTGCTTTGGGAAGGTGAGGTGGAGAGGACGAGGGAAGAGATTGAAAAGATCAAATTGGAACGAAAGAGGGAAAGGGAAGCGCTCAGGGAAAAAGCCAATACATTTTTGGGCGTGTCGAAAGATGCCGCAAATCGAGATGAGAAGGATGTCATCTCTACGCCTCAGCCAGGTAAGCCCTAGTCGTCTTTGCCCGCGACTGAGTCCTCTCCTGATTGTTCGTCTTGTGCGCCGCAGGCGAGAGCATCAAGGCTTTTTATGAAAGGTCGCGCGCTTATTGGGCAAGTGTGGCGCACGAACAGAGTGAGGGAAGCGCCAGAGGCAAAGAGATGCGCCGAGATGGGTTTGCTGTGAGTCGTATCTTCTCGACATTCGACGCAGTGCATTGTGCTTAGCAGCACGAGTGCGCACTGGATCATCAGCTCGCTGCGCAGAAATATGAAGAGTACAGACCTGTCCTGGAAGAGGTGAGTTAGGGCATCCAAATTCTAATCGAAGCCTCGTCGATTCATACAAAGTTGATCAATGCTTTTGGCTTCGACGTACCTCGCTTCAGATCGTCCGGATACAGGCGTCGGCAGGTATGGATGCCTCGGACATCAAAAGCATGGCGAACGGGTCGACTGCAGGTGGCAAGACGGGGGGTATTGCGGGAGGTGGACCCGGTGCAGAGAGTAGGAATAGGAGATAACATTACAAGCTGGTGCTAGCGAGATGTGTGCGCATCTTGCGGAGCATGAGCGAGTCAGTCGTTGATACATGATAAGTAAAAAGGCGAGACCTCTGCCCAAACAACGTTGATCAAAAGAGCTCTGCATCCTTCCTGCTTGTAGACCCAGGTCGAAGCAACAGCGGCATCTTCGGCAGATTAGACGCTAGCTCTTCCGCCGAAGCGCTCAGTGTGTGCGACGCGCGCCCCTTGCTCGCTATTCTTCCGGGCGATATCTGGCAGGTCATTGAACGGCACATCTTTGATCGGAGCGAAGTAGGCATCCACAGCCGACTTCAGGCCGCTGTCGCCTTCCGAGTCGCGTTTGTCGCCGCCCTTGCCTTTTCGTTTACCGCTTCCCTTCGCTTTCCGATGGTCGCTCCCTTTCACTTTTCGATTACCGCTAGGCTCGGCTTTGGGTGTGCTCAAAGGCAAAGGCCCAGATTGCTTGATGACGCATTCGCCAGGTTTTGGCAAGGTGACGGATCCGGTGAGAGCTTTGTCCAGCCAGTCGACTGCGGTTGGAAATCCTGTGAGCAGAAGCTCATTGTGCTTCTCGCCTTTCACGCGCGAGTACAGGATGCGAGCACCACGAGCGCACTGCGACGAGACGTACTTGTCGACATCGGAGGCTACGATGATTTCGTCGGCCGTCGATTGGTAAATGTACTACCGTGGCAAGAGGTTAGGAACATCAGCGCAGCCCTGAGTTTGGGTCAACAGAGAGCCGGGGCACCTACCAGAGGAACCTTTGGCGTGTTGGCTCCCAGAGTGTTCTCACGGTTGATCCTCTGGACCAGCTCATCATTGAGGCTGAAGTTGTTAAAGTAGTCGCTCAAAGAGGTGTTTGCATAATCCTTCACCGCATCCAGACAAGCTGAACCGCCCCTCAGACGCTTGATGGCCGCCTTGCCTTTGGTATTCGCCCTCGCAAAGAGGTACTCTTCGACTTCTGGGTATGCGTTCCCTAGGCCCAGCAAACCCATCAGCGATAGACCAGCATTCTCGGTCCCGTCGATGTGCCTCAGGGCGTTGATGGGGTTAACTGGAAGGCCCCCATACGTCGCTGCCACAAAGTTGATCTGCGTCCGATGGCCACCCTTGTCAGCATGCGGAACATCGAAACGCTTCTACCACGGACGCGCTCACCTCGGGAGCATATTCTGGTGCGAGTTCGGCAGTCCAGCCTGCAGCACTGGCGCCTCCCGAATAGCCGATGTAGCCGACTTTGGCGCCTTTGGGATCCGCAATGGTGGGCTTGTGCCTCAACGTAGCCCTAATTCCGTCCAAAGTCGCCCTTGCCTGCGTCCTGCCAACGATGAACTCGGAGTTAAGACCTTGGAAATCAGGCACCGTGACGGTGTATCCGTACGCGAGAAAGGCGTTGATGACGCCAAGCCCAACAAATACGGGAGTAAAGTTTGGGGATGATGGACCTGCTGTGAGTGCGTAGGAGCCGGCACAGTTTAGGGCGACGGAATCGGTGAACGACTCGTAGGCTACAACTCGGACTGGCAGCTTTGCGCCCGCCACCCCCGCCACATCCTTTGCTCGAGGGATGAGGGTCGTAGTAACCGCGGCAGTGGGTCTTCCGGCATGGTCGTACGTCCTATAAAGCAGCTGGTACGCGCTCGATGTGACCGACGCATCTGCTACAGTTTTGACGGGACGTGCTCGAATGATATGGCCTGGTTTCATTTCGGCCAATTGTTTTTCGGATGGAGCAACGTAAAAGGGATCATCTTGCGGCTTGGGTCCAGTCTCAGCGAGCAAACGAGGGAGCAAACGGGCGTGCGCCACGTGCAGTGCGCATAGCACAGTCAAGAACGACCAAAGGAAGGAGCGCATGATGCCGTGGGGGGGG